ACACCATGCTACTGAGATCCACAAGCAACGCTTGGCACAGCGGAAAGTAATGCAAAGCTGAATTTAGCACGCTGTGTGGTTGGGTTGCGACTCGCAACCTCTATTGAGACCTCGGTTCACTTTGAGCTAAACCCCCGTCATTCCGATCTCAAGAAATATGCTTGTGTCTTCTAGTCGCAACTTGGACACCGCAGAACAATGCAGGAAAGGCTTATTCTGTTGCAAGATACAAAACTAATGTTTTGACTCAATTATTTGCTAGACTGGAGCTTAACCGATCGCAGCAGACTGGAGCGATTGAGCGAATCAGTTTCTCCCCATGGGTTACTCCTGTCTTTGAGCTTACGAAATCGAACGGTTCTATTTGCTTATGTGCAGATTTCTCAGTTAGTCTGAATGCTAAACTGGAACCGCATCAGTACCCATTCCCACTCCCTGGCGAAGTGTTCGCCAGACGGAACGGAGGCAAGTACTTGACTACCATGAATATTGCGGACGCTTATTTGCAGCTAGCAGTTGATCCTGAATGCAGTAGTCTTCTTACAATTCGTTAAAGCAGAAAGGAGACATATATTACGATATCTCGACATTTCGATTGTTATCCTCACTCGCATACACAATACACGCAGAAGCACAGGCACAAATATATGCATGGAAAAATTGGCACACCAATTAAACTGAAGAAATGTTCCTGCCTAGGACCTTAGTATCAAATGCTTATGCCGAAAAATCAATCCAAGTGCGCGGCAGACCTCCCAAAAAGAAAGTGCCGGTGCTAATGGTTCTGCCGTTTAAGGGAGGTCATGTTGCAAATGATGTTGGACACAAGCTCTGGTTCGCTCTAACGCGCGCGTACACGGCTGCCCAGTTACGCCTCATTTACACTACCTGGAAAATTGACCATCAGAGCAACTCTTCGGCTAGTTCGGCTTCTTATGTGGCTTATCAGTTCACCTGCAGTTGCGGTGATTTTTCCATGAGCAGAACTAAGCGTCGGTTGGCTCAAAGGATGGCTGAACACTTGCCCAAGTGGGTAGAATAAATGATGATGCAACAAAACGGCGCATCCCACAGAATGAATCGGAGTGCTTCGTCATCTATCGCCAAGCACCTTGTAACAATTGCTCACCATGTGAACCCCAACAATGCGTTTAAGATTTTACTGCGCAACAGGAACTCGATCATGTTGGCAGTCAGTGAAGCGTTGCTAAATAGGGCCTATCAGCTTGTGCTGTGCACTGAAACTCTTGAGACAATCTATTAGATTGCCTTGGTCTTGATTTTGACAGTTTAATTGATGCGCCAATATTTCCCCCTATATATATATATATATATATATATATATATATATATATATATATATATATATATATATATGTTCCTGCTTGTATTGTCCGTGCGACTAATGAGAACAGTTGGAATTTTGACATCGCAATCTATGTCTTCTTTATGCTTTGGTGAAGTGGCTAAAAGGGACCCAATGTTTTACGTTAATTTTTACAATCAACAGTCATCGCGGGCTCTACCAATACAATTGTTTACCGCTCGAAATCAAAATCGAGCCAATCAATTTTTCAGCAAATCATGGATACCCTGCTAATGGGTTTCACTGGAGCTGCAGCCCATTTGAATGAAATCATCATACTGGACGCAACGCAAGCTGAATTACCTTAACGACTGGATGACGTAATGGCGAAAATCAAAGAGTGTGGATTCCGACTGCGTACGGGCGATTGTAAAATTTTCTTGAAATCCATCGCGTTTCTAGGATTTGTGATTTATGAGTGCGGCCGAAAACCCGATACCGAAAACTTTAAGATGATAGATCAACGGATTTCACGACTCAGATAGTTCCTTGAAATGGTGAGTCACTGTAGTGAATTTTTGTCACGCATGCCTCACTTAAGTCGCTCGCTGAATCAGCTGCTGATGTAAGATGTCCAATGGAAGTGGTCCGGACAGTGTCAACAAACATTCGAGAAATTGACATCTCTGCGCAAGTCCAATCTACTGCTTACGCACTACAATCCAAATCTGGAAATTATCATGCTACGGATGCATCCAACTCTGGAATCGGGGCATTCATTTCACACCGATTTCCGGACGGTTCAGACAAAGTCGTCACGCACGCTGTACCAACCCTGACCGCATTTGAGAACTATACACAAATTAATAAGTATTGTCAATCTTCTTTACGGTTCAGGAACTTCACAAGATGATATACGGTTGGTGTTTCACACTATTGACATACTACGAGCTACTGCTCGTAATCTTTGGATCCAGTAAGGATATTTCGGCGTACAAGGTTACTCGGCTCCAAAGCTGGGCGCCTTTACTCTTGGAATATGATTTCAGCCTAAGAGTTGTCAACTGATGCTATTAGGCAAGCGGGCGCCCTATCCAACTTGTCAATCCCGGTAGAGATGAGTCTGAAGATGTAGTCATTGATTCAATTGCTGCCGAAACAAATGTCAGTTATATGGTACGTGAGGCTGTGGGCAACTTGCCGGTTAATGCCAGGATGTTTCAGCATGACATGAAACAGGACGCATTGCTCCAGGACAACAGGGCTAGTCGAAGAACTGCCCAGAAGATCTTGCCCAAATTTTTACTCGACGTGACCCTGACGGAAGTCTATTCCTAATGGTTTTTGGTGGATCGCATCGTTTTTCCGGAAGTACTCAGGCAACGCGTTTTATGGCAACGGCGTAAGGCCAATCCAGGGAGCTCTTGCCTGAAAGCACTTGCCCGGAGCTACGTTTTTTTAGCAATGATGGCTGACCAAATAGTATACGTTATTCGATCTTGTTTCAAATACTGCAGTGTTTCCAAGCTGTCGGTGCGCATGACCTTACACTCTTGGCTGAAACCTGAATTACCATGGTCTCGGATGCATTTGGATTTTGCAGGACCATTTGAAAGAGCTTCTTTCCTCATTATCACCGACGCCTAGAGCAATTGGTTTGAAGTTATTGTGGTGCGCAACACGTCCACAAACCGCATACTCTTTGCAGTTGAATATGTTTAGTCAGCACGGCCTGCAAGAAATGACTGTGTCCGATAACAGGTCGCAATTCATTTCCTATCAATTTGCTGAGTTTTGCGCATAAACTGGAATCGATCACATGAGAACATAAGCATATTGTTCACAATCTAACAGTCAAATAGAAAAGTTTATCGACACTGAAACGAGCATTGTTGCATTCAAAGAGTGAGAGGACGCTGGACGAAAAGCTGGTAAATTTCCTGCTAAATCATCAGCTTACTCCAAATCCCAATGCACCAGATGCGAAGCCACTCCCTGTAGCTCTCATGACTGAGAACCACTCTGAATTTGATGACTCCTAAACGCCTATCCGTACGACTAACGAACTCAGTAATGGAGCATCAATACAGTAGGTAGTATGGGTCAAGGAGAAGGAAGCTCATCGTGGGAGTTTTCGTGTTTGCCACTTCCACCCATGGACGGCGGACAGATTGGGTACCAGGACGAGTTCTTCGTCTTTGTGACACAGTGATTTACAGTGTACAACTTGGTACCCAACTATGGAGACGTCATGCTAACCGACTGAGGCCACGTTTCACACGAGATGCTGTTGTTTCGAAAGGCAATGAGACGGATTTCAGTAAACTGTTGGGCAATAAGAAATCTAGTACCTGTTAGACGTGAAGTTCAGCCTTTCTGATGTTCAGAAGACGAGGCCAGACACAAACCAAAACGAGCAAGATTTGCGCGGCCTTTTCAAGTGGACCCCCATCGAAAGAGCCATACAACCCTCAGGCAAGGTGTTCCCATGAACTTTGTGGGCGTTTTACGTGCCGAGTACCCGAACTCCACAGGCCGCATCAGGGTCTAAGATGACTTTCCGACAATTGCGGCATTCGCAGGGTTGCCTAACTTTCCCATTTTTGTTCAACTTCATCTTAGACTTCCTATGAAGTGTTCCCTTGTGGAGTCTCTTGATGCAGACGTTGTGGTTCTGCCTGGTGAAAGGTTAGTTGATCTTGATTATGCGGACGATATTGTCTTGCTTTTTAATGGTGTTGGGACGGCCCAGTTAGCTCTTAATAACCTCTAGAGTGGACCCATTATTTGGGAGGCGCTTCGCACCTTCAAACTTCAAAGTGTTGTTGCAGGACCACCAGTCACTTGATGATTCCTTGGACCTTGATAGCGAGAGACTCAAGTAGTTTATCTTTTTACTTACCTTGACAGTTTCATTGGCAGCGATAGGCTCATACTCACTGAAGTTAGCTCACGGATTGCAAATCGAGAACTGTCTTCTTGAATCTGCAGCATCTTTGGCAACCGAAAGGATTTTCCATTTGTCTAAAAGGCCATGTTTCCAAGGCCACAGTAAGGTGGTAGTGGAACTTGGCTCCTTCGATCTGAGGACCTGCGACGCTTTCAGGTTTCTGATCATTGACGTCTGCAGAGCACTACTGGTGTCCGGTGACATTAGCGTGTCCACAACAATGATGTGCGTATGCGAGTGCTAGACAGGGATAATCATGCTAGCTCCCTAGAACAACAGAGAGCACTGAATAACTTGCGTTGGCTTAGCCACATACTAGGTATGCCAGATCACCGCTTATCGAGTAGGGCGTTGTTTTGTTTGCCGGATTTAGAGTGGCGCAAGACTCGAGCTGGACGGAATTTGTCTTGGCACCGGGAAATGAAGTCACTAATGACCAGACTGAGTGTCTTCGATCCGTTCGCCTTCCAGACTGGAGTCCACGCCACCCGCCTTGTGCTTGGCTCGAAACTTTATAGGAAATAGCTCTCAGACGACACCAGTGGCGTGCCTGGTCCCGTGTCCCAATCGGACTGCCTGTTTAAAGTTTGTTTGGTGCTGTGTTATCTGCGGGGTAGTGGCTGATTATGACTCGGGGCAGTGAACTCCGCAAGGAAGCTGTCTCGCTGATGCCCCCTTATCTTTGCACGAAAGCCATTTGTTTGTCACGGTATGTTGTTAACACAAGGTGTAGGCGCCTTAACCCTGAATGTTTGCTTAGGGCAATAAGGCTTTCCGTAAGTCCTGCTTCTCTCCCTCTTATTCTTTGTTTCGTAGGTCGTTTTGATTGTATAGCAGCGGTACGTCAGCTCAAATGGTTGATGTACTGCTGTTGATGATAATGATGACCAACAATTGAAAAGAAAAATATGGAAATATGACGACATGTAAATAGCGATAAATGAGTAGCATACGTCGGACGATTGTTGCTTGTATTTGTAAGTAAGCATTATAGGAAAAAGAACAGCTATCTAATGGATTTTTGGACAGATCCAACCACTCCAGGTACTATTGTAGTAGAGTAACTGATATCGAACGTTGACTTCACGGAGCAGGAAGAACTGCGATGGGTACTCGATTTGTTACCTCCGGGAAAGAGGAGATAGCAGGGCAGAATAAATGTAAAGAGAGAAAGGAACTGTGACGTTGCATGGCTGTCTTTGTCAATTTCCGCATCATCTAGAAGACGCATTTCGTGCAGTCTTGCTACGTTATTGTTCAACCGCTTTCTCGAATGACCATACTTTACATATGTTCAGAGGGTGGGTTAGTCAGCAGGCGCCTCACCTTCACCTTAGTAAGCCGACCTGCAGCCTAACTGTAGCGAGCTTATCTTCTAATCTGACGGCGCACATTCGGGCCTGTGTTGGGGCGGTGCGACTCTCGCACTATCCTTGGCCCACGTGCGACCGGTGGTATTTGCGTGCCAGCGAAGCGTCGGTAGCGCGTACCGGCGTACTGCTGATCTCTTGTTTTTACTTTCACTTTCGTAAACGCATTTTCGACTGAGCTATTCATGTGTGAGTAGAACGACATAAATTTCAACTGGTAGGACTATCGGTATGTGAATTCTGGCATTGTTCATGATTAGCCTACACTGTTTATCTCCACTATGCAGCCTACATGCCCCACATCATGCTCTTCGATGAACATTGAGAATTCTAAAGGATCTATTGTTAATGCTCTTTGAGCAAACAACTATTTGGTGATTCCTCGCCGAAGTCATCGTCACTATGCGTCCTCTGTGAGATGACGTTTGCTCACGTTCCTCTTCTTGAACTAGCATGCGTCCATCACACATGAGGGTTGAACGACTTCTCTGGAATCTGACTTCCCACTAGTTGCGGGGCTGCACAGGTTCACACGCACAGTAGTTTTTCAGAAATTTAATTTTTTAGACAGCCAGGTTAGCGTCTGTGGAGTTCATGAACCGTGTTTAAAAAGTTCGATGCGCTTTTGCGAGTGTCTACCTGTGGCACCGGCGTGACATCACTCTCGCCCTAAAGGGAAGAGTTTGCCGCCGTCCATTCAACACTCCTGTACGATTGCGAAACCTGCTCCACCAGGACCACCGAAATAAAGGCTCGTTGCGCTCGATCACCGCTGCTTTCGCGATTTAGTTCATATTTGGTTTCAAAATGGCATGAGCAGCGAACGTGTTTGGCGTCGTGTATTTGGTGCATGGTGAGCGAGTGAACAGCTCAACGCCATTATATCACGCACCTTGCTCCGATGGCTGGCCCACATGTTGTCAAGTCAGAGTTTGTCAATATAAGCTTTATCTACCCGTGCAGGCGCATTTCAACATTTCACGATATCCATTACAGGTGTTACAAAACAGCATCACAGAAAGTGAAAAATACTAGCCACACAAATGCATGATCCGGAATCTGCGCCTTATTGATGGCACAGTGCCGAAACCTTCCGGTAACTACGCGCAGAAGATCAAAGTCCAAATTCAGAAATCTTCGAAAGACAGTATTAGTGACCTTGCGACTAGTTTACATGAAGAACACGTAAAAAGATCAGGGAAAACTGGTATATCCACAGCAGATAAATTAAAAGCTATGTTCCATTGAAAAGTCAACCCCCGATTTAAAGGCTCCGCCAAGTGTTGCGCATGCAAGCAACATACGACTTCCGCGTCGTGTTTGCGCCGCCGGGTGTTGATGGAAGAAGAGAGGTGGTCAATCGATGAGTTAATCAAGAGGTATGAGTGCCATCACTTCTAGGTTGGCGTCGGTCGGGGCCTCCCAATACCGGGCCGGGGTCCCAAGGACGGGGAATACGTTTGATTGGATACACTTGTTGCCATTACAAAGCGCCGACCTCAGTAGCGTTTGTGTTGTTTTTTGTCCCTCCTACTCACTTTTAGCTTCCCTCCATCCACCATCTCATACCCATTGCGTAATATAACATTTAGCACTATGTTACTTAGTTTTTGTATGCTATAATATTTGATATCTCACCTTAATTGAGGTGTCTTTCTTACTCTCAGCTATCGTATATTGGTGATGTTGATGCCTAAAAACACTGCGATATCTTCCAACCGGTCTGTTTCTTTTGTCTGTTGTCCTCGTCGCAATTTACATTCTCCTCATATAACTCTTTGACTTTTAGTTCTCACGATGGCTGTTGCGGTGTCTCAACTACAGCACCAACATTTCATCGTTATGTGAGCCTTGCTAAGTGCCGTTAAGCGTTCGATTGTTCAGCATTCACTGGTTGTTCGTTACGATTTTATCCCGTATCTTATGTCGGTTATGCTGCCTACGTTTATCCTACCTGTACCATTTCCACCTGATTTTCGCTCAGGCGCTGATGTTAGCATCGTCAATGAACGGGGTCATCGGCCCATAATGTATGCGAAGGATCGAGCGATTAAGGATTTGTTGGCGAAGACTGAGACCGAAGTGAGCTCATTTTGACTTACTCTTCATTGTTTTCATTCGCCGATTTTGTCAACATTGGTCTGTATATGGTTTTGTGAGATTATTGCCGATGTTCTTTTAAGTTAGTCCCATCTTTGTACTAAGTGTTCTCTTTCCACAGAACCAGGGTTTCCAATTTCCATACTTTTACCGCATTTTTACCTCGAATACTGGAGTGCTTCTACTTTGGCCTGCTTGTTTTTTCACTATTATCATATAATCTGCACATGTAGTATGAACGTTGCTCTACCTTCAGTCTAAAACGCATCTTTGGACGGACATTACCTAAGACATCTTCGAGTTGGCGCTGTGTGTTACTCTTCATACCCGTTGGGACACATATCCACTGTGTACTCTTGTACATTTTGTATTTGCCTCGTCGCCTTTCGGTTGCCAACAGCTCTACGTTCAGCAGTGTATGATGGGATCAAAAGCATAACTTTACAAGACCCACAGGATGGATATTCAAAAGAAACGTAACATCAAAATGTTTCAACGTGGAATGTGAAGTGTCAGTGGTTAAACCATTGCACTTATCAAACTGTTGTGTAGCGTTTATCACTAAGATGAAAGTCTAAGAGTCTTTCGAACGTCGTCATGTCTGGTGCGTTCACCACATATCTTGGTAATGCATTCCAGTGAGAACAGATTATAAGTGAGTAAAACTATTTTCTGCAATTCAGACGGGAGTGTTGCGTAATGTGTTTCAGGCGGTTATCTCGGCTTTGTTTGTAAGGCGTTAGGGTCAACAATGATGTATCCGGTATGTGAGAGTAAGATCTCTGCGAAGCCGTCGGTATTCTGATGAGAACACACCGAGTACACGAAGACGCAGTTCGTAACTTAAACCGGATAGTCCACCTGTTACCTTTGTGGCTTTTCTTTGGGGTTGTTCCAATAGACGTATGTCTCGTTTTAATCATGGACACCAGGCCTGGATATCATCCATTTCCTTCGTTCATGCCCCCATTTTCATAGCCTATTTCGCATCCAATTGTTTGTCTACACATAGCGCTTTATGGGCGATAGACAGTCATACACGTCTTTTAGCATACCATTGCGATTTTTGTGCTGCATGTATGAATGGGATGTTGCCTGTTCCTGTGCTAGGAGGCTTCAAAGATCACCGCCTGCCTTTTGTGTATTTCATGCAAATGTGGGATTTTTTGAACCATGGAGTTTCATTTCCGCATTACAATTTTACTGCATATGACGGGTGATTGTTTAATTGTTATCTTGGTCCCATTACAGTCATCTATTACACGTTATTATACTGATTTCAGTGCTTCCTCACTTGATTGTATGAATACTCTATGCTTTACAGTTAGAGGCGAAGAAAACAGAGATGGAACGTGAAGAGAGACGTCTACAACCTTTAGAGTCTCGTCTACGCAAAGCCCTTGTTGGTCAAGAGGCTGCGATTCGAACAGTGAGTGCAGGTGGGTTGTTTTCTGTGCGTAGTTTACTTTTACCTCCTCTAGCACGTTTATCGCTCCATTAAGTACATTTTTGAATTTACTAAGAAATCTGCCAACCATCCAACGAGGTTATTTGGCTTCAATGGCTTCCACATGTTTACTTCTTTCTATTGCTCTGGTGTACTGCAAAAACTTTTACCCTCAGAAGATATCTATCTTTTGACAGTGATAATGTACAATCGTTGCCACTATTCGTTCGTTTAGCACTGGTGATAGGCACACCAGCACACGCAGCAAGCCCCGTTCAAGGGATCGTTAGACTATCGGAGAATCGAATTGAAAAAACCCATTGATTAATCAGAAGTCCGTGTAAGCGAACATATGTTTTCGGTAATTCTTCATCAGGCTTTTACAATTACATGCAATGCAAAATTTTTGTATACAGATCCACCGGGTCGTCAGTCAGCCAAATTGATCCTAGTGCGCTGTGACAAACCGTCGGTTCGGTTCCAGTTGTATTCGTACGCGCCTACAGGTCGACTGTAGTCCGTTCTGGCCAATGTAGGCTCAATGCGTGAGTGAACCTTTTCTGCGTGCACAGTGCTGGTTCGTACAGCCGAATGGCGATGGCTTCTGCGGCTTTCTTTCTTCAACCATCTTAGCGCTTAGTTCTCATCCACAATTTTCACTGTTAATGCGTCTTGCCTACTAATTTTCGGACTACAGCATCGTACCACTTACGCCAAATGGTTTTCCCTGTCACCGTGCTGTCAACCTATTTCGCCTCGTTTTTACTATCAGCTGCCTTGCTAGAAGCTTGTTGCTTTCGTTCTCTTCAAATCTACTTAATCTTTCTGGTCCGTATTACACTGGGTTTAACGGTATTCACCACGTAACTGAATAATCTATCACCCCTGTTATTTCGCTCCTCATGGGCTGTTTTCGAGGACCGTCAAGCAAACTTCTCTATAACCTCTTGTAACATGAGACTCTGACGCCACACCTCCTCCCGTGGACGAACTTTAATGTGAACTTGCTCTATTGAGACGAAGCAAGACACCCAGATCGACGTCTTTCCTCCGTTTCTATTAAAAGCCACAAACGACAGAATGGTGGCCGTCTTGTTCGCCCTAATCAGCACACACGAGATTGATTCGGATTAGGCGGATGACATCGTCTTATTCAGTGACCACGTCAACAACTTCGCCCTATCGAAGTGTGAAGTGCATACACCCGTTTCCGCGCTCACTCTTGAAGGCACAAAACTTGGACAGGTGGATAGCTTTGCCTACCTGGGAAACTGTGTCTGCTTGTGGTACTGCTGGGAAGAACGTTGCCAAATTGCAATCAGCGTTTCTCAATCGGATACATTTCTAGCGTCATCAATACGTCTTCACTACAACGCATCCGTTCGCTTTGTGTTGTACGGGAACAAGTACTGATCAGTTCACGTGCATGGCACGCAACGGATTTCGTCCTTCGATAACATGGCCTTAATGAGTGGTTATCGTTTGGAGTGATGCCAGTGTGTTTGCGTCGATGATGTTACATGTTGTGTTTGAGGCAGTGCGAGCTGGCTTTGTTGCGCCAATTGAGATGGCTTAGTCGCATCTTACATAAGAGCGTTCACCCTACCGTGTTCTATGCACCCGGGCAGGATTAGACTCTAAGGGACCACGTAGCGTTCAGCGCACGTTCCACATTTCCCTCACTATTTGTCTGAATTAGTGGATGAAACCATTAGCAGCGTACCTTTGCGATTACACACCCATTCAAGCTCCCTGTCCTCTCCGATCTAGGCTAATCGTGGCCACGTTGATGAATTACCAGAACGACTCAACCGGCGAAAAATGTCCGAGCTGCCACAGATACCACAACAGCAGTATACAGTTCATTCAGTACATGCGATTCCCGCATATCATTTCCATATCAGACAATGACAATGTTTCACCTCGGTGGGACATTGTATTCCAGCAGTTGTGCTGACTTCATGGGGAGTATTGGGCCCCTGTTTGGTAATCTACCAAACAAAGACGCATGAACTGATCATTCAGTCAACGCCTCCCAATGGGCGCGATTCCCTAAATTCGCCCCGCTGCTTTGCGGGTAGGTTATTTAGCCAAAGGCTCCGGGTGGAGTCCCCTAAGTCAACTCCCTACTTCGGCTTGGGCAACCGGGTAGTATCACGCCCTCTCGCAAAACCATGGACTGTAGTACAAATTCCTAATCAGCTACTGTTCCTGCTAGTCACTTTCACGCTACTTCATCAAACGCCAATTGTTTGTTTGCTAACAATCCTCACTTTCCGTTACTCGATTCATCTGTTCAACTATCTGGCTGCGATTCCGGTTGCGCCGCAGACCTATGGCTCACCTTCGTCGCCGATCTTCGTTCCGTCTGGCGTGCTTCAACGTTCGGATACTCATGCAGATTGGACAGCAAGCCGGTCTAGCGCGCACCCTAGATTCCCTAGACGTTGATGTCTGCTGCCTTTCAGAAACCCGATTGCAAGATCCCAGCACTGTGCTTACATTGATATCCCCCACTGACCACGAAGCCAGATATCACCTGCTTCTTTCTGGAGATCCAGAAGCAGCCTCGGCGGGTCTGGCTGGTGTAGGTATAGCACTAAGTGGCAAGGCCGAGGCGGCACTACTGGACTGGTTCCCGATTAACAGCCGACTATGTGCAGTTCGGCTTCGAGGTTTATGTAGAATCAACAGGCACCGCGAAGAGAGACGCAACTTGTTTGTGTTCTCCGTGTACGCTCCAACTGACTGCAGTGGCGACTCGGTCATGGACGAATTCTACCGAGATTACAGCAGTTCTTGACTAATGCTAAGTCGAATGTCGTTATCCTTGCTGGGGATTTTAATGCACGGGTTGGCCGCCTGTTACCATACGAACGCCACCTCGGTGGTCATCACGCGCTCGATGAGAACCGCTCTGATGACGGAGGGAGACTTCTCACATTGTGCGAAGACAACCGTCTGTTTCTTTCGAGCACTAACTTCAGGCGTTCCGCAATGTGGCGTCCCCCTTCGCCAACACATCCGTGGTCTCAAATTGGTCACATTGCAATTAGCTTCAGATGGCGCGGCAAAATACTGGACTGCAGGTCCTTTTGGTCCACTTTCATTGACACAGATCATGCTCTGGTCTACGCGAAAATCTCTATGTGTTTTGGAGGATCTCGAAACACGAAGCACCGCAAGATTGATGTAAACAGATTAACTGATTCCTCTGTCAAGGCGAGCTATCAATTTTCACTGGCATATGCATTCAGTTGTAATCCACCGCAATAAGTGGAACAACACTGGACTTGTGTACGGAAAGCGATGACCATTTCCGGACAGTCATGCTGCGGCCTAACTCGACGCCCCTTGAGGTCTTGGATCTCTGCTCGTTCTCTGGAGCTGTTCGAACGCCGCAAAGATATCCCCGCGGAATCAGATTGCAACGAGCGGCGCCGTTCTGCCAACCGGCTGCTCAAGCAAAGCCTACGCAAGGATCGCGAGACATGGTGGTCTGAGCGTGCTTTAGAGATGGAGACCGCTGCCCTCTCTGGCAACACTCGCAGGCTTTTCCAACTCATTCGGTCCACTGGCCTCAGGAAGCCTGGTGTCAGTGAGGTCATTTGTGAGGTGGATGAGTCTCCGATCACCAACCAACAGAGAAGTGTGGACCGCTGTGCCGAGCACTTTCACTCGCAGTTCAACTGGCCTTCACCATCCATCATTACCTGCAGTACACCTTGTTATCCACCCTGGCTCGTCCCATTGAATCCACCCAACGAAGCAGAAGTCTGCCTCGAGATTCGACGCTTGAAGCGCTTCAAGGCTGCCGGCTTAGATGGACTTGCTCCGGAACTATTCAAGTACGGCGGTGTGGCGATCATTACCCCGCTAACCCTGCTGTTCGCAAAAAATTTGGCATGAAGGGTAAGTGTCTTCCTCTTGGGGCGAATCAGTTATTGTCCCGATTTTCAAGAAAGCGGCTCACACTTCATGTGCAAATCATCGCGGGATTAGTCTTATTTCGGTTGCCTCTAATCTATTGGCATCCATTCTGCTTCGCAGACTATCCCCAGTACGTGAATCATACTACGGTGAAGAACAAGCTGGTTTCCGTCCTGGCCGCGGATGCGTGGATCAAATCTTCACTCTCCGCCAGCTCCTCGAACATTTATCACAGGCCCACTGTTGTTGCATTCCTAGACATACGTGCCGCTTCTGACTCCGTTGATCGATCTACTTTATGGCGTTGCTTACTAAAGAACGAGGTGCCAGAGAAATATACCGCCATCTTACGAGCACTTTACCTTCATACATGCGGCAGAGTGAGGGTCTATGGCAAACTTTCCTCGCAAATTCGCTGTCAATAGCGGTGTGCGACAGGGCTGCCCTATGTCCCCATTCCTCTTCAACTTCGCAATCGAAGACGTTCTGTCGAATGCTCTAGAAGGTTTCCAACATTTCGGCCTAAAGCTTCTACCGGGTGAGCGCGCGACCGACTTAGATTATGCTGATGATATCGCCTTGGTGACGATCCTCAGGGTATGCAACTCATTCTGCATTGTTTGGTGGTTGAAGCATCTAAGTATGGCATGAGCTTCGCCCCATCGAAGTGGAAAGTACTGCTCAAGAATTGGCTTTCACCTGCTCCCGTGCTCACTCTCAAAGGTGCACAACTTGAACAGGTAGATAGTTTCGTCTACCTTGGGAGCTGTGTTTCTGCTGACGGCACTATCAACAAAGGAGTTTCTCTTCGTATCGCTAAAGCTCTATCAGCGTTTGTCAATTTGAGGCACTTGTGGTGTCGTCTTGACGTCTTATTCTCACTAAAGGGCCGCGTTTACAGCGCGTCAGTTCACTAAGTATTGTTGTATGGGAGCGAGTCCTGGCCGATTCACGTTGAAGACATGCGTCGTCTTTTTGCCTTCGATGCCGGTTGCTTAAGGAAGATTGCTCGTGTTTGGTGGCAACATTGAGTTAATAGTAATGACGTTTGACGTCGCATCTTGGGGAATGCAAGTATTCCCTTCAACAAACTGATTTTGTTGCGCCAGTTATGATGGCTCGGTCATGTCCTACGCATGGCACCTGAGCGTCTACCGCGTCGCGCTCTATTTGCTGGTCAAAGACCTTGCTGCAGGCGATCGCGTGGTGGTCAGCCTTCCACTTGGCGGCAGCACATGAAATCGCTGACGTCGTGTCTATCCGCTGTTGGATCCGTACGTCTTCCAGGATGGGAACCCAAAGATCAGGAGTGCCAATGGCTTAGGACTCTTGAAGACATGGCCCGCAACCGGAATCAGTGGAAGAATTGTGTACGGTGTTGTATTGAATCACATGTTTAATACTACCAACATTGAAAATGACAACTAAGAGAAAAATCGTCGTGTGACAAACTAAAGATGTTTTGTTCTACTTTTTGTCAAAATGTTTTATTCTTCCTGCGGCATATTAGCTGAAGTGTGTTGCTCACCTTCAACTACCATGCCACAATGATTATGACGCAGTGACTTCCCCTTATCTGTTTATCTCCATGGCTTTGTTGGCTCTATGTTTAGTTGCTAGACTGTTGAGATAACATACAGACCATGTCATATACTCTGTAACGCTAACAGATGTACAGAATCTGACTCAGGCATTATTGACGGAGTCACTCCGGGTTCCGGATGTCTTTCTTGTATAGTGTCCATTTTTCTCTGCTATGGAAAATATCCGATGGCACCATTGATTTGTGTACCGTGACCTTCATCGCAACGGTCAGCTGACGCGTATTCCAGACTCGATGTTCCAGCTCTCCATCGATACACTGGTACGAAGCTCGCAGGTCCCTTGACAGCATGTTCTCGAGGCAGAAAATGTTTGATGAAATTCACCATCGGTTTGCGGGCAGGACACATATTCTACTTCCGACAGTGGCGATGGTGAGTTCGAAGTTGTCCTCCTTCGTAGCGAGTACCACCGTCGCGTCGTGGCTCATCCTCGTTGTGTGCAGATAACGCGCAGTCATCGGCAAAAAGCAGCATCCGGATGGTTGTCTGACGTACTACACTTCTCAGCCAGAAACGAGGGATTTTCAGTAATCCACCATCGATGCGACGCTTAGGATGGTTACAGTATTCTCATGCATTGTAGACACGAGACATCATGACAGTTATTTGTATGTCAAATGGAGTCTTAGTTATGACAGCTGTTCTTCGCATCATAGGGCGTTAAAGTCATCAGAGGTTTGCCAACGTAGCCGTACCCTCAACCTCAAGCATTCAATTAGACGGATATACCTATCATGGTATCTAAACACCCAGCCTTAATCAGAGTAAATCGTAGTTCACTGCACCAAATTCCTTAGTGAGGTTAACGAACAATGAGTGCAACGGCTCACGGTAGTTATCCTGCAGTTAGCGAACCGCGAACATCATGCAGATTACGCTGCTGCCGAAACGAAAGCAGGACTGCTTTTCGGTCGCGTTTGGTTCAGAGATGTGAGTGAGGAGGCGCTTGAACAGAATTTGGGAAATCACTTTCCGGACTCAAATCAGCAAGTTAATATCGTGATAATTGTTTACATACTGTTTGCTTCCCTTGCCCTTGTACAGTTGTGGTGCAAACGCATCTTTCGATTCAGAAGTTACTTGTTTTGAAATAAATGAGAATATCCGTAGCTCGGGGTGTGGGTGCTGATTTTGAGTTGTTCTCCGAGCTGAGTGATTATTGTGCAGACGTTTCGTTGCCTGACTAGGCAACATCATCAGTGCGGCTTCAGGGGCCTGGTTTGCAGTGCCTCGAAAGCGACTTCAATGCCCAAGTGCTCATTGATCGAGTTCTCTTTTGAATGCCAGGCTTCAATGAACTCACGTGCTTGCCGGTTTCTAGCACTTCCGAGGATACTGGCCTGCTCTAGGTGGAAGTGATGGTTCTCGGCATCCATATGCACTGATATCAGGGAGTTCTGATCGTGGCGACGAATGGCTAGGCTGTGTTCGTGTAGCCTTGTGCCAAGCTTGTTTCCAGTCTGTCCCACGTAGTATTTGTCGCAGTTCTTTCAGCAGATCCTATAAATCACATCAGTTTCTTCCTCTTTGCTAAGTTTATCTTTCACGTTGAAGAGTTTATTGCGAATTGTTTCCGTTGGCTGTTGTGCAACTTTGACTCCAAAAGGCAATAAAAGCCTCGCTGTCATTTCAGAGATTTCATTGATATAGGGCAGTGTTGTTCTCTTTTCAGCTGTTGCATTTGTCGAGGTGTGTCGAGCAACCCTTTGTGGTGCGAGGCAGCCTAGAATGAAGCCTTTTGGGTACGAGTTCCGCTTGAGCAGATTGAAGAGATGGTCTTATTCTGGCCGTGTGCTCCAATGGGTTTGTGCTCGTTTGAAAAGGGTTCGCACGCAGCTGCGTTTGTGGGCTGCCGGATGATTGCTGCCGTAGTTGAGGAACTGGTCCGTATGCGTAGATTTTCGGTAGACTGTTGTTTCCAATCGTTCAGCACCAATCCGTCGTATGAGAACGTCTAAGAATGGTAACTGCTCGTTGTTCTCCTCCCTGGTGAATTGGATGCCATCGAACACACTGTTGATTAGTTCGTGTGTTTCCTCCAATTTGGAACGTTTGAGGATGACGAAGGTGTCGTCTATGTATCATACCCAAAGTTTTGGTCTCGCGCTCGGTAGTGCTATTTGTTCCAGCGCCTGCATCACTGTCTCGGCTACCGGACCAGGGATCGGCGATCCCATCGGTGTGCCCCTTATCTGTTCTTAAATTTGGCCATTGAAAGTGAAATGTGTTTTTAGACATAATTCCAATAAGTCCATCATCTGTTTGGGGTCGGATTTACTGCTTGTATCAGACGACATATGCTCCTCTAGCAGGCGCGCCATTGTTTGTTTCGCCAAGCCAGTGTCGATTGAGGTGAACAAGGCGGTAACATCGAAAGAGACCACTATTTCGTCTCGTTCATTGGTTGCGGTTTTAAGTTTCTCAAGGAACTGTTCTGCCGAGTTGACCGAGTGTTCCGATCCCGCGATTAGGTGTTTTAGCCGTCTCCAGAGCTCATTTGCAAGCCTGTAATTTGGTGCTCCCGGTAACGACACAATGGAGCGAAGCGGCACTCCGCTTTTGTGTACTTTAGGTATGCCATAGAACCGCGGTAGTACCGAGTCTTGTGGTCGCATCATCTTGTGTTCCAATTTTGTGCTTTTTCCCATTTGTTCCAGTTTTTGCAGAGTACGTTTGATGTTGCCTTCTAAGCGTTTTGTCGGGTCTTCGTTTATCGGCTGGTATGTGTTGGTATCACTGAGTAGATGTGCTTTCATCATGTAATCAGATTTATCCATTATAACAGTAAGGCCTCCTTTGTCGGCCAGCAGTATAACTACACTTGTCTTTCTTGAGGTTCTCCAGAGCTTTCCGTTCAGCGGCGTTGAATATGTTGGTTTCAGCTTTGTGACTGAGAGCCGGGATGATTCTGTGTCTGACCTTTTGTTGTGCTTCAGGCGCGATGTTGTACGATTTTAGCGTCGATTCAAGTGCAGCGAGGAAGTCGATAGGATTGGAGTCCTTAATATTGAGTTGCATACCTCGGACGATGACTGCTTTTTCCGCGCCCGTTAATCCTCTTTTGAATATGTTTGCAATCCACGCATCGTCTTCTTTAGGCGGTTTCTTTTGCGAGATCGAATTCAGCTTCTCTTCAAGCCTCCGTTTGGTGTTTATCTTTGTCTTGTGAGTTTTGACGGCTATCGCTTTTTCCAAATCTTCAGTCATTTGTGATTCTAGTCTGGATAAACAAATTGCCTTCTGTTCGTTAATCGCCACCTGGTATTTATGCTTTCGACTATGTGCATCTGTAATCAACAGGCGCAACATTCTTCACCCACGTTGTTCCGTTATCTTCCAAGCCAAAGGATGGTTGATCGGAGGACAGTAGTTCAGACTCGGCAGCAAAACTGCCTTCGTAGAGGAGATAGAGCTGCTCATCAGTGGATGATTGCCGACTGGCAAATGTCTCCTATCGGCGAGCAGATTTTAGCGCGTCGCGTTACTTGTTGTTCGCTCCGAAAGTGACAAATCGCATATACCATTGCAGTTCTGTCGTTCTTCAGTAATTCTGGCGGTACGCTATCATCATGATTCATCGTTACACGTTAGCCAAGAATTGCAATCACCGCAGCTCTTGCTTCACTGTACAAAAAGATTAAAAAAATATAAAAATACAACGGGATACTAAACATTACAAGGTACAAAATAACATCAAAACCAATTAATGTTACGCTTACTATAACGTAATGTGAGATCGAGGTTGGGGGGGGGGAGCTAAGTCGGAGAGCTAAGGACAAATAAAACGACAGCACGAACGCCATTGCGGTCGGATCTTCGCCATGTCAACAAGTGTATCCAACCAAACGTTTTCATCGTACTTGGGACCCCAGCCCTGCAGTTGGCAGGCACCAACCTACGCCAAGTTCCTGTTGACCAACTCATTGCTTGGCCTCCCGTCTTATTATTCCATCCAGATCCAGGCCGCACAAACTACGCACGACGCGGGAGTCGGTGTGCTGGCCTACGCAACACGTGGTCCAGCCAGCGAAGCTAGGTGCGCAATATAAAGGTGCTGAGCGGTTAACTTGCTCTTCCTGCATCGAGTACGGGACACGCTTATTGCTTACACGGTGCTTCCACCAGACATGAGCTATGCTGCGTAGGCAGCGATTGTCTAACGTGACTAGCCTCTTTACATCTCGGTTTGATGAGCCAGGTTTCACAACCATACAAGAGAATGGAACTGACGGCTGAATTGGAAACTCTTCCATTCAGGGCGAGATTGATGTCGCGCCGGCGCCACAGGTAGCGGAGATTGGCAAAAGCGCATCGAACTTTTCCTTTGAAGTGCGGATAGCGCCGTCCTGGTCGTATTTTGCTCGTGTCCTCGTCAGGCCAGTTTACCTCGTTCTTTACATTGTTAAAGTCGTTTTATCCCATTCACTCACATTAGTGACTTGGAATTACTTCATCATAAATACGTGTACTAGTTTACTGTATTTTCTGCGATTCTACATTACGCTGCTTTAGTCGTATCGATCGATACCTTATTTTAAAATGCCAAAGCAGACACCTTGTGGTAGTTGCTCCATAGTCGTTGGGCATCGCGCAAATATGATTACATGCAGTTTATTCAGCGTAGAGTTTCAGATTTCGTGTGTTGGTCTGTCTGTGGACTAATTTCGCGTAATTCAAGGCATTCAGCATGACTTTTTGAAGACCATTTGTAAGCAATGTCAGTCTAAGCTTGGGCAAAATGAAGCCGAAAAGCGTGAGAAGCGGGATAGTAGCGTGAATTGCGGTGAACAGCGCAGCTCGATTTGCCCTGCACCACAATCAAAGAAACAGCCAGCATCTAGTACGGCAGCGAATCTATCCCTAGAACAAAGTGCTAACGCTCCGACAACCTCGTCTTCCACGCCTACGATTTCTTCAGTTGACAATAAAGCTGTAATTTACAAAAAGTAAATTGGTTATAACGAATGGAAAATGCAAATACCAAAAAAGCAAGAACAGTGTCCAGCGACCTGAGGCGCCGCAGCCTCATGGTCTTTCGCACCTGAATCCTGTGATTCCAATCCTCAGGTGCGCTATGAACATGATGTCGTTTTTGCAAACTCTGTTTGATAGACTGCTCGACGTGGATGAGGGCGGGCTCAAAGTGAAACAGATCGCTCGTCTAGGAAAGAGAACCGATGGCAAAAGTCGACCCATATGGGTGACTTTTGTTGAAGAGCCAAGTCGTAAGTTAATATTGTCCCGCCTGAATAGGCTGAAGGGTCTAAAGATCCACGTGCGCGCATACTTCGACCCAGCAAGCAGAGGGAAACTTAAGTCTGCGCTGATTGAACTAAAGCGACGCACGGACGATGGAGAAATGTATCAACGTATTGTAAATTTTCTGGTAGTTACCCGGATTCCGCGAATCCGGAGCAGCAGGTTTCTGATGCCTCAGGCGCGCCCAGCGGTTCCTACTTCAGTCTGCGCTTAGCTTTTACTATCTTCTGCAGTCTGATAAACAAACGCGATGAGCTTTGCTACTTTGTAACCACTCAGCGGCCAGAAGTGTTAGGCCTTGCTGAGACAAGGTTAAACTCCGACGTAACCGCCCAAGAAGTGGAAATCAGCGGCTACTCGTGCTTCCGCTTTGATAGACCATCAGATGATCGCGGTGGCGTTCTGTTTTACATAAGGTCTTCCTTGTGTATGAGACTAGTGAGCACCTACCGAAGCGCTGATGGTCTATGTGAGCAGTTATGGTATTCGATTCACCTCAGACGCTGCGAGCGTTGTGGGCGTGGTATATCGCAGTCCACTGAGCCGCTGCTTGGACTGGTTGTCGCATGTCCGCAACCACATGAGTCGTCAGCTGTTCCTACTCGTGAGCGATTTCAACTTACGACGAATACCGTGGCCTGAGGCTGAACTTCTCCTCGGCCATTGCTAAGTCGAGAGGAAATTTGCGGAGTTGCTTTTTTAAATGAGGGCCACACAGCACATCAACCAACCGACGCGCATATCTGCGCGTGCGGCTCCGTCGTGTTTAGATCTGCTTTTGACCAGCTGTGAGCAACGTGTGCACAACATTCAAGTCTTAGAGCCCCTGGTAGCGAGTGACCACTCAATGATCATAGTTAACTTGGAGCTGCTGGATCCAGCCTTCAACTACTGGCAGGCGGACTTTAATTGCCTTACTCGAGCAGCGAGCCAGATGGCGTTGGTCATTACCAGAGGATTCGTTGGACTATCGTTAGAGAGGGAGTGAAATCATTGTGCGCTCGATTTGCACCACTCAAGTGTCGGAAAGTTGGGCTAGTCAAGCCACATTGGTCCGACAAGGAGGACAGGAAACTGGTCCGACGACGATGCAGACTAGGGAACAAATTCGTATTATCTGGCTCCGACGATGATTACAAGGTGTACAAGGTACAGCGAAATCTCTGCAACAATTCGAAAACAAAAAAGCGCAGAAGCTTCGAAGAGCAGCTGGCAGCCGTCCCAAAATCTGCTCCCAAGTGGATTTTCGCCTACGTGAAGCGGCACCTGAGGCCTGCAGGCAATGTGCCAGTGTTGGAAGGCTCAGATGGACAGCCCCTAACCTCGAGCACAGATTGTGCGTCCGCATTGGCGGCGCACTTCGCTTCCATATTTGCAATTGACCAGGTGTCTGTACTGAGTTCGACGAGTACCGCTCCCGCTGAACTCGACAGCCTGGATTACAGCATTGAAGATGTAGGCAAGCTTCTGACAAGTCTTAACGGGACGAAGCCTGCCGGGCCAGATGGAATCCACCCACTGATCCTGAAATCCCTATCGACCATCATCTCGCCTTCTGTGACTGAGTTGTTCAACAGGTTACTATCCACTGGACTACTAGCGGGCGACTGGAAATGCTCAGTCCTAAAGCCAATACCGAAAGGTGGTAACCCAAGCAAAGTTGATAACTACCGGCCGATCTGCTTGACCGCTGTTTTGGCAAAGACGCTGGAGAAGATCGTGAAGAAGAGTCTTCTGCAGCTTCTCGAGTCGAAAAGTCTCTTGACGCCTGCACAGCATGGTTTCGTGATAGTTCACTCGTGCATCACCAGCCTTCTGTTGAGAAGGCACGAATGGTTGCAAGTCGGTCGACGTCATTTACGTTGACTTCAGTAAGGCGTTTGACAAGGTGAATCATACAGTGCTCCTCGACAGGCAGAGGGTGTGTGATGTTGGCGGCTGGTTGCACCGATGGATCAAGAATATTCATGTTGGTCGAAAGTGGATGGTCCAGATCGACAACCATTTGACCAACGGGTATCCATCGAGCAGTGACATGCCTCTAGGCACTGTACTGGGGCCGATTTTGTTTCTGGTCCATGTAAACGATGTGCCTCAGCTACTCCATTCACCTTGTGCGTTGCTCGCAGATGACTTGAAGGTGTGGAGAGTAACCCGCACACCCAATGGCTGTGACTTGCTTCAGCAGGAACTCGACTACCTCTCCGCGTGGTCTGCAGATGTCAGCCTTCCGATCAACCCGGTCAAGTCACAATTTATGAGGCTGGATAAGTGTGAGCACTGTCGAACCTACGCTGTGGCCGGTCAACCGTTGCATCCGCGCCTTTCGTGCGAGACTTCGGTGTACTCTCATACTACGGCATGGATAACAGGAATAGGCTTTACCAAAATGGCCTTCGCATGCTTTGGGAGCTCAGGCGCAGCTTTATCACCTGGTCTGAAGAAACTGCCACTCACCTCTTCGTGCCGCATATTGTGCTATCACCCGGGGGAGTTAGAAAAGATTGAACGAGTGCAGCATGTAGCCACCAGACTGATTCCCAATTTACGAGGTGTGTCGTACGAAGACCGGTGTAAGAAACTAGGGCTTTACACCCTAGCTTATCGTCGACTGCGGGTTGACCTCATCATGACGCACCGGATATTACATCTGGGTGATTACCCCATGTTGAGGCCGCTGCTTCATCTGCGCACCCCAAGCAGCACATGAGGACACCGGTACAAGCTAGCC